AAGCATACAAGATAGGAGTGGGGCCAGCCTACATATAGCCAGTATTTCCTGAACTTCCCTTTCCAAATCTAGAGGCAAGACAGGAACTAGATAGAGTTTCAACACACCACACAATAATAAAAGCCTCTACATTTTCAGTTTTTAATGAAGTTGTGTTAGTATTTTACTCCTGCATCTTCTCAATTGTTTCTTCCTTATATTTGCCCTTTTCTTTTCCAACTTGGCGAGATTTAGCTTTACGTTCAAGGATCTTTTTTCTGTCTTTATCCAGTTTTAGCTTAGTGATAACCACCTGCAGAAAAGAAAACACAGTAACATTTTCAAATTTTAAACAATGACTGATAGTGAATGTATGAGCCCTATTTCCAATTCCATTAAAAAACCTCCCAAAACCCCAAGGTACCCAGATATTAAATGATTTTTTTGGTCTCTAACTCAAAACTGGTTAAAATTTTTACTGATTTTTATTAACAAAGGAGAAAAGTTAGGCAGTATAATTATGAAACAGCCCGTCTCCCCCCCAACCCTCCCCGGGCGTGTGTACCATCAAATCATTTTTGACTGGTACAGGAGGATATTGTCCCTTCTTCTCTAGCACAGCATTTGGTGGATTTGAACCGCTCACCTCTGGGAATGCACTGCAGCTTCTTGCCACTAGGCCACCAAAGCTCACCCAACCTCTCAAGTCTTTAAGGCTGTGAGACCTATTCTGTGACATGCCCAAGTGGTCAGAGGCTTACGTACTGTGCTACCCAGGGCAGTGACAGAGAAGCCATGGCAATGTGACAAACTGAGGGTCGGACAAGCACTGTCTTAAACTGTGTGGCAAGGGAAAGTCCTACTGAAGATATATTTAATAAACAACTAAAGGGGCAAATTATCTTGGCTAAATGTCCCACTGACAACGGGTCAGAGGCAGAGCAATTCTGTGTCTTTCTTAAAACATGAGCACATACATGGTCCAACCACTGTGGAAGGTGGTATGGCAGTTTCTCAAAAACTTACAAATAGAGATACCATTTGACCTAGCAATTCCACTACTGGGAATACCCCAGAGAGACTATAACTGACATCCAAGCAGATATATACACACTCATGTTTATTGCGGCTTTGTTCACAATAGCAAGGAGTTGGAAACAACCTAAGTGCCCATCAACAAATGAATGGACAGGGAAGCTGTGGTATATTCACACAATAGAGTACTAGGCTGCATTGAAAAACAAGGAAGTCTTGCAATATTATTCAAAATGGGTAACCCTGGAGAACATTATGCTGAATGAAGTATCTCAGTCACAAAAGGACAAATACTGCATGGTGCCACAGTTATAAAACAGGACTGACATCAGGGTTGGGGGAGACTGAAAAAGATGGGTTCAATAATGTATACTGCATCCAAACAGATGAGGGAGAAAACTGTTTAAAAGGGATATGTGATTAGGTATTTTTGTCATGACAGGAGTCCAGAGCGAAGGCTGCATAGTGGAGTGGACCTGGGGGGAGGGACTGTAAAACAAGGAAAGAATTTTTCTTTTACTTTTCCAAGAGGGTTGTGTACTAGGGGGGAGGGCGGGAGGGGAGAAAAATGTAACAATGAATGAATGGAAATCCAAAGTCTCTGCAAATTTTCATTGAAATCAGTAATAAATTTAAAAATGAAAACAAAAACATGAGCATATAAGAAACAAATGGAGTGTTATTAAAGTCCTACATTAGGAAGTCTTAGAACCTAGACTATCAAATTCAAATTGCCAGGTGATGTTGATAGCCACACTGAGTTTGATTGCAGCACAGATTACAGCAGTGCCAAGTGACATCAAAAAAGGGACACATGAGCAAAGACCATGTTAAGGGCTTGTGGGCCATTTAAAATACATTAAGATTTTATTGGTAAGAAGTAACTGGCTTAACAACAAGCAGAAAATCAATATGACCTGATTTATGTTTGATGCTGAGTAGCCAAGTTTCTAGAAGCAATACACTAGAATTCTTGTGTGGGAAAGATAACAGTGATAAACTGACTAGAAACTTTGTTAGAATCAGAGTTGGAAGATGTCAGGTTTGATATACCTGTTAGATATTTATATTAGAAGACAAACTTGAGACAAGTGAATATTGAGTGTGGGGCTCAGCAAAAGTCTGGATTAACTATCAGCTTGAAGGTATTTAAAGTCAGAAGACTAGAACAAGACTGTTGACCTCAACCAATGCCTTTATTTGCACATCTATACATCAAGTTATTTTAAATATGAGGTGAAAAGAAAGATAGTAATTTCAAGTCAGAGGCCTCTTAAGTGGCAATTAAAATCTGATTTTAATGAACATAAAATCCAGGGGAGGTAACCTGTTACCGTGGAATAAAGCCAGATTTTCCATTGTGGATTAAGTATCACCATCTATGGGATTTTAGTATTTGAACTTCTCTTACTTCCCACACTTGTAAAGATTAAAGGAGGAGGCAGGCCCACAATGCCTCTAGCAGTGAATCAACTTTCAGAAAAGCTCTGCCATTTCATACTACCGGTTATTCAAGTCAAGTACTCTCAGCTACTCTTTCTGCTGAACAAGCAAAAGCAAACTTCACCAAGTTTCAGGTACTTTAAAATGAATCTATTTCCCAAATTTTAAAGCACATCAATTGCTGGATTAGCTTTGTACCAGTTTGAAGAAAATGCTCATCAGATACACATAAACAATAGCAGATACTTTGATTTCGTAAACATTTTAAGTACTACAATATGCTCAGTGTGACCTCAGTGTGGCCAGGCCTGGCCTCCTGTTGCCGTGGCAAGAAGTTCTGGGGAACTGAAGATTGGGCTCCAAGCAAAGGAGCTTCGAAGACTTGCTTCTATGATGTCTCTCTCTTCAAAAATCAGGAAAGAGCAAAAAGGGGCTGTCACCAAATCCCAAGCAGCAGAGTTCATCAAAAACACAGGCTGCCGCACCTGTTGAGCCATTTGACAGTACCACCCACAAGAACATCAGGTCTACACTGTGTGTACAACTTCTTAGATTCGAACCTGTTGTTCTTTCTTATGTGCCATCGAGTTGTTTGTGACTCATACAACAGCCCTAAACCCCGCTCTATCCTGTGCGAATCACATTGTCTCTGACACACCCATCCCAATTATCCCAGTCACTGAATCAATCCACCTCATAGAGGGTCTTCCCCTCCTGCGCTGTCCCTCTCCAAGGACTGTCTCTCTTTACATGTCCAAAGTATGTCAGACGAAGCCCCAGAATCCTTGCCTCCAAGGAGTAGCCTGGCTTAACCCTCTCCAGGATCTGTTTGTTTTCTTGACAGTCCATGGTACATTTAATAGTCTTCTCCACCAACACAGCTCAAAGGCATCAATTCTCCTTCTATCCTCCCCAGTCCTTGTCCAACTCTGATGCGTAACAAGTGATTGCAAAGACCATGACCTGTATCAGGCGCACCTTCATCTCCAGAGACACACCGTTGCTCTTGAGTACTTTAGAAAGGTCCCTAACAGCAGACTTTCCAATCGTGATATGTTTTTTGATTTCCTGGCTGCTGGTGCCAAGAGTGATGACTGTGGAGCCGAGCAAACTGAAGCTGTGAACAATCTCAATCTCTTTGCCATCCATCCTGATGCTACCAATTGGTCCAGTGGTGAGAATCTTTTGTCTTCTTGACATTGAGCCTCCATACTGAAGGCTGCAGTCCTTGACCCTCTCCTCAATTTCGGCTAGCAGGGTGTGTCACCTGCATAACAAAGATTGTTAATAGATCTTCCACCAATCCTGATGCCCCACTTCTCCTCATAGAGATAATCTGCTCTGCATACAGGCTGAAAAGGTATGGAGATAGGACACATCCCTGGCGTACACCCTTCCCAATTTTGAACCATGCGGTGTTACTCTATTTTGATTTCAACCTAGACAGCTCAAAATTCAGAACACCTCAGCCTGCCTCAGCATGAGAATCCCCACTGAGAAGAGTGACACTAAGAACTGAAAGGACTGCTCTTGCATTGTCTTTGCTGCTTTCTTGCTGCAAAACTTAAATCTACTTAACAGGAAAACAAAAATACTACTGTTATTAACTAAGTGTTCTGGAATTCCTATTCTTTCTTCAATCTTAGACATAATGATCCATACAGTCAAATGCCCTTTTATAGTCTGCTTTCAGCCAATATCCTTCTGACATCAGCATATCCTTGGTGTTTCAGCCTCTTTTGTACCCAACTTGAACTTCTGGCAGTTTTCTGTCAATGTAGTACCTTATGTTTTTTGAATGATCTTCAGCACTATTTTGCTTGCATCTGATAATAATTGATGATACTGTTTAATTTGTATACATTATTTTGGATCATTTTTCTTGGGAATGGGAACAGATATGGATCCCTTCTGTGATACTAAACACTGTGACACTTATATGTCAATCGCAATAATGGTTACCCATGTTGGACAGTGTTTGGTTGCGCTCCCAGATTAAAAGAGGCTTAGAAGCAGGAATGGCATTCACTTCCGAAATAGCTTGCCTCCGGAAACTCTACAAACTTTGAGAAACAATGACAATTATACAAATGTTCAGGTCTTTCAGGAAGCTCTGGTGGCCTAGTGGCAAGAAGCTGCACTACAATCCCTAAGGCATGCAGTTCAAATCCACCAGATGCTTTGCTGGAGAAGGAGGGGCAATCTCCTCCAGTACTTGTCAGATCTGATTTGATGGTACACACAAACAATTCTTAAAACAAACAAATGTTCAGGTTTTTCGTTCACAGGGTCACTACAAGTAGCCTACAAGAGCACTTAACAACATTGCTATTAAGGAGTCCTGGTGGTTAAGGACCTGGCTATTAGCCAAGATCTGTGGTTTGAATCTACCAGGCCTTCCACAGAAAAAAGAGGAACCAATCTTCTCTCCTAAAGATAAAACTAAGAAAAAACAAAAAAACAAAACAAAAAAACAACCAAACAAAAAAACTCCCAACAACAAAACCAGCCCAACAATTCCCAGCAATTGGGTTTTCTAAGGCTGCAAAATCTTAATGGAAAGTGATGGCCCAGCTTTCTCCTGTGGAAAAAGATATTTATGGGGTTGTAAATTACATTTATTAACAATCTTTCGTCATCAATTCCTTCGTGCCCCTTCAGAATTTTCAAAAACTTTACCTTGCTAGGGTGAATGCCCACATGGACCGTTGTGCCATTAGCTTTTTCTCGCTGCACTCGTTCAATGTAGATGACATATTTCTTCCTGTAAACCTGAACTACTTTGCCAATTTGCTGACCTTTATAGTGCCCTCGTACAACCTAGGTGCACATTTAAAAATAACAGAGACAAAAGAAAGATTAACACAATAAAAAACTCAACTATGACCTGTAAATAAATGACACCATTATATAAATCTACAGATACAGTGGTGCAAAAGCAGCATTGGGCTTGTTATAAACAAATGGTGATATGCCTCACTGAACTTAATATCCCATCTCAAACAAACAAGGTGTAAGTGCTAACGAGAAGCATGAAGTTCAACCCAGCATCTGAGTGGGTAGTAATAATTTTTTCCAACTTAGTCTATTAGATTTCCTTCAAATGAAATCCAAAGCATTCTGACCAGAGGTTTCTCTCCAGTATCCAAACGGTCCTTGTAATAAGTCATCTTAGGGATAAGATTGCCCCATCCCCAATCAACTGGCAATATGAGCAGGACTAGTGTCTATTGTTACTCTTCTTGGAAATGGTTATCATTTATGTAAAAAATGGGATTAGCATCGTGAAATATTGGTGAGATACTGGTTACTTTATGGAATTCAAAGTCTTTTATCACTAGTTGCAGGTTACACAACTTTTTATTTTAAAAGATTTGACAACTGCATTCACCTATACATCCAGACACAGAAAATGCCAGTTTTTTAAAGCTCCTCAGCAACTGTTTATTTGGCAAATAACAGAAGAGTCATGACATTCTGGGATATCCTTACTGTTACTTTAACTATAGAAGTACCTGATGCTTGTGATTTGTGACTTGCATGCACCAAAGTGAAAAGCAGCATCCTTTTTTTTTCTTGGGTTCTTGGTTCAATTCCTCTGATCAAACACTTCAGAGTGTAATCTCTCTAAAAACTGTGGCAAGAAACTGGTTTGAAACACATACCTGAACTTCATCATCCTTTCGGATGGGCATGGACCGCACGTTGTATTTCTGCCTCAGCTCCTTGGACAGAGGAGAAGACATAATCTTCCTTCGAACGTGAGAGGGTGCATTGAAGTGCCTTTTACGGTTTTTGCTCCGGTCAGAAGTCACAAAAGGATTGAACTTCATTTTGGCTAAGTAATGTGAAAAAGAGGTGTAAGCTTTCCAATCGTCAAAAATGCAAATTTCGTTTCAAACAGGTGAATGAAACAATTTCAACATAAAAGCTTAAAATACAATTCTTGTAATTCTATCAAAAATGAGTTGATCTCTAGTAACTTTAGCTTTGGATTTTTACTTTTTAATAAGGCACTTTCAGTATTGCTTATAAGGATATTTTTCCACTAAAAGCACATTTTAGAGTTATTAAGCTTTGTGTTCCCACTCTCAAAAACTCCTTAAGTACTGAATGAGAGTTAAGAGTTTTAAATATTTTGAATTACGGCACAGTACACAGAACAACCCAATTACTCAACCGTTACCACTTTTTAAGTGGACCTGTCAATGTTACTTTTGTGTGGACTTATCTGGTCCCCTCCAAAAGGAATGGATCAAGATCCTACACTCCTGACGTTTTCTCGGTCCAAAAAAGCTTTCCACTGCGTAAACGTGGTTTAGAAGTTCCATGAACGCTTTACCGAGAAGTTATTTCAAGATCGTTCCTTTGGAAACTACAATGCCGAGACTTGACTCCATCTCGACAACGTCTCCCCTCCACTGTCCCCACACTCCCAGTCCTGCCTCCCCTCCTGAGTCCGATCTGGTGGGGAAATGGAGGGAGGCCATCCTGGTCTTCCTATGTGGCTGCTATGCAGCCGCTGCGAAAATCTGGGAGCCCTTAGGAGCGAGGGTCACAGTGTCAGGGAAGGGATGGCGGCGGATTAGACGCACAAACCCGCAGAATACTCACCCGCTGCCGCTTCAGCGATGGCCACAGGAGACGAAAGAGACCCACAGGTTATTTCCGGTTCTGTAAGTTTACGCGAATTCTCGCGAGATCAGCATGTCTTGAAGCGTGAGGGGTGTGGAGGTAGAACTCGAAGACGTTGGGGCATGGCTTGGTTGCGTGGTGACACCTAGTGGGTCGGAGGGAAATGGTGAAGGATTGCAAAGCGCTGCCAGGCATCTGCTTCTCCGGAAGGGTCTGGTACTGGACAAAGGGGGGAATCGCTCAGCATTTGACACTTGGGTGAGGGAGGAGCAGATGAGCCCACCTGCTCCGGATTCCTGCTGACCCAGGTTACCAGAATGCCGCCATTTCTGCTCCGTGGAGTGAGGGAGCCTGTGGGACTCTGGGGTCCTTCCCTGCAAGGGTGGGACCACCGATTTGCCCCGTGCTGCACGAAAGTAGATCCCAATCCTTTTTTCTAACTTCCAGGCGATGCCTGTGGTGCTGGGCCAAGGTCAGATGAGATGGGGTGCTCAGACCATAGTTTCTATGAGCGGGACATGCAGGAAGTCACCTTGAGTTTGACCGCCTGCCCTCCTGCTCTGCTGTGAATGGATTCTGAAACAGGTGGCTGGAATAACCGAAGCATTCCCGCTGACTCTCTGAGGTCTTTCCAAAAAAGATGTCCTTTCCCTCCCAGCAACATGTCCGAAGTATGACCAGCAACATGCCCAAAGTATGAGAGAGAAAACTTCCTCCTCTTTGCCACCAAGGAGCACTCTGGCTGAACTTTCTCCATGATATATATGTTTGTTCTTTAGGCAGTTCATGGGATACTCAGTATTTTCTCCAACACCACAACTCAAAGGCATCAATTCTTCTGATCCGTATTCATCGTCCAGATCTCAGATGCTTAGCAGATGATCAAAAAGACCATGGCCTGAATTAGGCACAACTTAGTCTTTAAGCTGATACCATTGCTCTTAAGTATTTTGGAGCTGTCTTGCCCAATGCAATATGATTCTTGATCTCCTGATTGCTGGTGCCAAGGATGTTGATTGTTGATTCAAGCAAGATGAAATTATTGACAGCTTCCATCCTTTCTCAACTATCATGATGTTGTCTGTTGACCCTGTGGTAAGGACCTTTGTTTTCTTAATGTTGAAATGTAATTCATAACAAAGGCTGCAGTTCATGATCTGCAACAAATATTTCAAGTTTTTCTCACTTTCAACAAGCAAGGCTGTGTCATGTGCAGGTTATTGATGAATCCTCTCATCCTGATGCCACATTCCTCTTCAAAGAGTCTAGCTTCATGAATTATTTGCTCAGTATACAGATTGAACAGGTATGGAAAAAGGGTACAACTCTGACACACAACCTTCCTGATTTTAAATCATGCTGTGTTCCTTTGCTCTGTTCGGATCTAGATCTAAATTTTGCATGAGCACAATTAAATGTTCTGCTATTCCACTTCTCAATGTTAACCATAGTTTGTTATGATTCACACAGCTGAATGCCTTTTCATAGTCAATAATAGTAATTCTTCTAGTAGTCTCTCTTTTCAGCCAGGATCCACCTGACATCCAGTGAAATCCCTGGTGCTACCACCTCTTCTAAACCCCTCTTGAACTTCTGGCAGTTCCCTGGCAATGTACTCTTCTAGTAATTTTTGGATGATCTTCAGCAATATTTTGCTTGCATGTGATATTAAGGATATTGTTGTACTATTTCCATATTCTCTTGGATCACCTTTTTTTTTTTTTTTTGGAATGGGGACAAATATGAGTCTCTTCCAGTCAGCTGGCCAAGCAGCTATCCTCCAAATTTCCTGGCATAGACTGGTGAACACATCCAGGGACATATCTGTTAGTGTTAATTGAAACATGTCAATTGGTATTCCATTGATTCCTAGGCCCTTATTTTTTTTAACAATGCCTTCAGTGCAGCCTGAATTCTTCCATCATTACCCTTAAGTTTTGTTCATATAGTACAAAGACCCTCCTTAGTGGTAAGAATTTGCCTTGCAAATGCAAAGTACGCAGCTTGAATCCATCAACTAACTACGGGAGAAAGATGGGCAGTCTCCTTCCCTGGAAGATCAGCTTTAGGTTGTTTCTGACTTGATGGTACACATTTTTTTCTTTTTATTATTATTATTATTATTTTTGTATGAGTGTACCATCAAATCAGATCTGACTGGTACAGGAGGAGATTGCCCCTCCTTCCCCGGCAGAGCATCTGGTGGATTTGAACCGTGCGCCTCTGGGATTGTAGTTGCAGCTCCTTGCCACTAGGTCAGATGGTACACAATTAACAACAAATTACACCGGAAACAATTGCCTAGGGGATTAAAACTTCCACAGAGGCATGTACCATCTTTGGGTTAGCAGCTCAGCTTGCTATGGACTCCAACACCTGAGCTGCCTTACATGTGTTGTTCTTAGGTGTCATCAAGTCATAGCGACCCTGTGAACATCAGATCTGAACAGTGCCCTGTCCTGTGCCATCACCATCATCACACTAGTCTATTGCTACAGTCACTTGTTGAGGATCTTCCCCTACCCCTTTTGCTAACCTTCTGTTTTTCCAAGCATGATGTCTTTCTCCAAGGACCAGCCCCTTCTAGCAACATGCCCAAAGTATGTGAGACAAAGTTTTACCATCCTTCTCTCTAAAGAGCATCCTGGCTGCACTCTGTCAAAGACATATTTGTTTGTTCTCTTGGCAATCCATGGGATATTTAGTGCTCGCTCCAGCACCATAAGGTGAAGGCATTGATGACTCTTTTGTCATCTTTATTCATTGCCCTACTCTCATATTCATAGCAGGTAATTGAAAAGACCTTGTCTTGGATCAAATGACCCATAGTCTTTAAACTGACAGTTTAAACCATGTATTGTTACCTTGCTCTGTTCAGAAAACAGCTTCTTGGTCTAGGTATAGTAGGTAACTGGAATGCAAAAGTTCAAAACAAAGTAGAAGGAATGCTAATTGGAAATTATGGACTTGGGGACAGAAATAAGGCTGGAGAATGAATGATTGAATTTTGTACATTTAGTGATTTATTCTTTGCTAAAAAATTCTGTAAGAAGCACCATAGATGGTGAATATACACATGGACTTCACCTGATAGAATGTACAGGAATCAGACAGACTATACCTATGGAGAGGATCACTGGAGAAGCTCAACGTCAGCAGTTAAAACCAAACCAGGTGCTGACTGGAAAAAACAAGCAATTACTCAAGTGCAAATTCAAATGGAAGAAAATGAAAACAACTTCACAAGAACCAAAATAAGAACTTGGCTCTATCTCACCAGAATTTAAAAATCATCTCAATAGATTTGAGGCATTGAACCCTAGTTACTGAAGACCACAGAGTTGTAGAATGACATCAAAGATATCATCCATAAAGACAACAAAGACAGAGGAGGAAAAAAAGATCAACATCAATGTCAGAAGAGACTCTGAAATATTTGCACTAGAGCACTGAGAAGCCAAAACAAAGGGAAGAGATGACAAAATAAAATAGGTGAATGGAAGATATGACATAGTGCTCCTGTTGGAAAGTTTTCAAAATACAGGGTGAGGACATTAATGATCCAACTAATTATCATAAAGATGCTACTCACTCAAAGCTCATTGCCATCATTTAGAAACGAACACATAGCTGACCCTCTAGCAGGTTTTCAGAGGCTGTAAATGGCACAGGAGAATACTGCTCATTTTTCTTCCTCAGAGTGGCTGGTAGATTCAAACCTCTTGCCTTTGTGTTGGTGGCATAACTTCCTACACACTAGGCCACCAGATGTCATAGGACCAACTAATATTTTGTCCTCTTGGAAATGGGTCACCATGAGTTGGGGCCAAAATGGGAAGCCAAGTTTCATACTAAATATTTGTAATAAACAGAATGCTACTTCAGGTTATGAGGGTGGCTGGTATCGGCTGGAATTAATCCTGAAGCACTAAGGCAATCCTTAAGAGTTTACAGGATTCTGGCATTGTATTTGCTAACCCCTCCCTCCTGAGTCAAGCAGAAGGTTTTCAATAGAAAAAGCTTAGCTTCACCTGCATTACATTCTCTTTGTGATTTACTCTCTGGCAATTTTCAATAAAGATAGGGAAGCTGGAATTGGCACTTCAGTTTGCTTCAGTTGTTCGAGAACTGTTCACCTCCTGCTTTACCTCTGTTTTTCTCTTACATTCTTGGTGTTCATTATTAATACTTATAAAAATACTTTACACTTGGTCTGCAACAGGCCAACTCGATTACAACTTAACAATTGTTAGAGTAGTATTTGTCTACCACCTATTAGCCAATTTAGAAGGTCCTGTATTGGCTAAGTCAGGAATGTATTATGCAGATGACACACCCTGCTTGCTGAAAATGAAGAGGACCTGAAGCACCTGCTGCAGAGGGTCAAGGACTGCAGCCTCCAATATGGATTGAGGCTCAATGTCAAGAAGACAAAGACTCTCACCACTGGACCAATTGTCAGCATCAGGATGGATGGTGAAGAGATTGAGATTGTACACAGCTTTAGTTTGCTTGGCTCCATAGTCAACAGCTTTGGCACCAGCAGCCAGGAAATTAAAAGGTGCATTGCCATGGGAAAGTCTGCTGTTAGGGACCTCTCCAAAGTGCTGAAGAGCAATGGTGTCTCTCTGGAGACGGTGCATCTGATACAGGCCATGGTCTTCGCAATCACTTGTTATGCATCAGAGAGCTGGACCAAGGAGGATAGAAGGAGAATTGATGCCTTTGAGCTGTGGTGCTGGAGAAGAGTATTGAGGGTACCATGGACTGCTAGGAAAACAAACAGATTTGTCCTGGAAAGGGTTAAACCAGGTGGCTCCTTGGAGGTAAGGATTCTGAGGCTCTGTCTAACATACTTTGGACATGTTGTGAGGAGAGACCGGTCCTTGGAAAAGGACATCATGCTTGGGAGCGTGGAGGGACGGCGGAGGAGGGGAAGGCCCTTTATGAGGTGGATTGATTCAGTGACTGGGATAATCGGGATGGGAGTGTTAGAGACAGTGCGATTAGCACAGGACAGAGCAGAGTTTAGGGCTGTTGTACATAGGGTCGCTATGAGTC